TGGCAGACATGATGGCTTCATTGTAAAACGTCCTTCCTCCGTGATTCTTATCAGGAAAAATCTCTGACTGGACATTTATACACAGATGAGGAAACAGCAGTCAGTATAAATTCCACTAGCATTCACTTACTCTAAAGGTAGAACCCTTACGCATATTAAATCGGAGATGTGCTTATGTGTGCGTGCGCTAACCTGCAGCGGCAGGAACGCTCCACCGGAGTCGACCAGGTACACGCAAGGCAAACGATTTTTGATTGCTATTTCCTGCGCTCTGAGATTCTTCTTTACCGTGATAGGATACGATGTGCCTCCTTTCACCGTAGCGTCGCTGGCAACAAACACACACCACAGACCGTTGATCCTGCCGATGCCTGAATGATGTTTGTACAGACGAATAAAAAAAATGCATAGTGTCACACTCGGATCCCAGAAGATGTGGAGTAAACAGAAGACAATCTGAAATAAAGAAATTAAATGAGGGTATTTAGCTGCGGTCACACTAATCTGTAGTCGTTTCTGACCAGTCATACTGCCGGCTGAAGGTATGTCCCCGTACGGAAGACCCAAACCAGCAAATAGTGACAGCTCCAGAAAGTCCTCGTCATCCAATAGGAGGCGAAGCCTGTCTCTGACCAGCAACTTCCTGTTTCTCTGAGTGTGTCTGGCTATGGCCCTCTCCCCTCCCCCTTCCATCACCTTCTCACTAAACTCTGTGTACCTAATAAATGGAGATAACCAGGGATAATGAATGACAACAAGTGCAGATCTGGCAACACACTGTCACACACAAACAAGCAGGGAATTTATTTTGAGATTAAAAAAACAAACAAACAAAAATCCACTTAATAAATCTAAAATAGTTGATTAGAAACACCAAATTGCAACAAAGCACATACTAATACACTAGGAAATGTGAGAGCAAATGTGTGAGCAAAACCTACTTCTTACACCAGACGTTGCTATTTCTGAGGTTTGCTTCATAAATGTGTTTGTGGATAGGCAGAAGGGGCAGGTCCAGCACAGGGAAGGCACTCGGCAGGGCTCTCCTCCTCCCTGCAACAGAGCTCATACCGCAGACTGAACGCTGCCAGTACCGCTCAACAAACCTGCTAAACAAGAATCAGGGAAAAAACATTTAAAGACTTATTTGCAACATGACAACAAAAGAAGAGAGAACTGCAAAAAAAAGATTATGAAAATCTGGAGAGTAAATTATTGTCCAACAGTACACTGAAGAGTTCAAATTACTGTTTTAATTCCAGGATTTTGTATGCAGTAGTGCCAACTCCAGGCCTCAAGGGTTGAAGTCCTGCAGGTTTTAGATATCACCCTGGGTCAGCACGCCTGAATCAAATGATTAGATCATTACCAGGCCCCCGGAAAACCTCAAGAAATGTTTAGGAGGTAATTTAGCCATTTAGATCAGCTGTGATGGATCAAGGACACATCTAAAACCTGCAGGACACTGGCTCTCGAGGCCTGGAGTTGGACACCCCTGCAGTAGTGTTTGGGGTTTTTTTTGCTCCTGGAGGGGGCAAAGCTGTAATGGTACATAGACTGGGTTCTCCCTCATCTGGTCACATCAGCTTAGATTTGCTGATTCTAGTTCTTGTTGTTGTCAATTATTGTTCTTCTTGCTCTTAACTAACTGAAGCCTTTCATTGAACTACCAAATAAACAAATTAGTGCTCTCTTCCTGGCCAGACATGTGGCAACACTTCTGCTATAATTTTCTTTGTATTTAACAAAATAAAAATGCAGACATAAGTGTGCACATTAGTTTTTAACTGCTACTTAAATTGTTTTCTTTACAAATAACTCTCACTGAACTAACACAGCCAATCCCTCAACATGTTTGTACTTCCTGCTCATTAATAATTTGTTGCTTTTTAAAGAACTTATTTTAACATTTCAGTCAACAACAAAACAAAAAGTAACTTCAAGGGCCAAATTGCATATTTCTTCACGTCAACATACGGGCCGCAAATTTGAGCCCCCTAATTTACACTGAAACCTGACGTCAGCCAGGTTTTCTATTGAATCCTTTGCCAGGGACGATGATTGGCCCATGCGTTAGCATGTATATGATTGGCTGCTTTGGAACTTTTGCCCCCCAATGCAAAAAAGAAATAAAATAAGTCTGTAATATTTACGAGCTTGAACAAATTTGATTAAACGGCAAAGTGTTGCTGAAGCGTTAACCTCTATGTGCCAACAGTTGTGTTTTTGTTTTGTTTTTTATCAGAAATTAACGCACCACCAGAGCTCAGCAGTTGCAAAGTGTGCCAAAGGTCAGTCTGCTGATAAATGACAGTTGGGGGACATATAAACACCTCTTACCTTGCAGTGTAGCGGTGCATATCTGTCATACAAATAAATTCCAGATTATTTAATTGTTCGTAAGTGCATTGCCAATCAGAACCAAACAGAAACTCAATCCCCCTCCAGATGCTGCTGCTTCTTCTTCTTCTTCTTCTTCCTCGCGGTATACTGTAGGGTGGCGCAATTCCGCCACCAACCGCTACGGAGTTTGGATTAGACGGTAATGCTGCTACTTCCACTCCAAAATAATTTGGAGGCAAATAAAATCTACCTACTCTACTCTCTTCCGTTCATTTCAAAGCTTTAGTTTCTTATTATTTTGCAGGTGTAAAAAATATCATGCGGTATTATTAAAAACTCACCCAGCAGCTCCCATAATTACTACTTTTACTATAAGTGTAATTTGTGCCTTTATGCTACTGAATTAGGTTTATGACTAGACATGGGAAATTTGTTTTGCCTCTTGCCTTAGCAATGTTTCATGTATTGTGCAGTGTCAATAAAACATTTCATATTTGATCATTTGTTGCTTTTGCTGGTCTTAAATTACTGCAGTATTTGAGCAAAGAAACAGGGACGCAGTGGAGCCTATCTCAGCTTCCAAAGCTGAGAAGCAGAGTACAACAAGTCCCCAGGCTGTTACAGGGCTAGCATAGAAACAGACAACCATTCATGCTCACATTCACTCCTATGGGCCTATGTACCTGGAGAGAACTCACGCAAGAAGCTTGAGAAACACACAGGACTTAGAGAAGATGTGGAGGGTGAAGGCAATAGTGATCCCTGTGGTAAATGGAGCACTCAGGAGGGACCCCCAAACTGGGAGCTTGAAGGATAAACAAAGACCCCCTGCAGGGCAAGCAGGGATTTAAAAAGCATCAAAGGATCTCATTGTTTAAATGTATCAGGCAGGAGAAGGGTACAAAAAATTTCCACAGCATTGGATATACTGTGGAACCCAGTGGAGAAAACATGGGACGAAAAACCTGGATGCCCCCCAAAACTGATTAAAAGCCAAGATGAATACTGGTCAGTGAGGCTGCCAGGGGACTCGCCATGCACTAGATGTGTATTACACGTGGCAACAATGTCATGTATTTCCATATGTCGAAATTATGTGATAGGGTTGCAGGACAGAAGTGTTTTCTGACAAAAATACACCTTAAAAAACATTTTTTGTTATTAAAATTGTTATTTTCTCCTAACACATTTGTTCATCAGTTGAATTATTACAGGTGACATTAAAGTGGGAAAACTTTTGAATCATTGTGATCACATTTTTTAACATCGCAAAAATGATGCATTTAAACAGGGTTGTGTAGACTTTTTTTTTTATATCCACTGTATCCGTGTAAGCAATATAATTATAAGGAGGCCTCATGCTGAGGTCAGTAATTTTTAGTTTTCACTGGCCTTTAGTTCTTGCCAAGCTCTGTGGTGCAGTTTGTCCTGCTGCGGTATTAATCTTCTACAGAAAGATTCAAGCCAGCAGTTTAAACTTAATGCCTACGTAATACAAAGTTTTCCGGTGGAAACGTGAGTTACTATCAAATTTAACAGCAAATAAATATGATAAATCAAGCTGATTTATGGCAACAAACCTGTGAAGAGCCAGTCTAATGCAGCAGAATTTGCAACTATGTAGACAGGAATGGAGCAGAATTAAAAACATTTATTTTTAATTTTAAACGTAGTATTTAAATTCTTCAACCCTTTGGATTATTTCCAGGTTCAACTTGCAAAAATTTACAATATTTATTTATTAATTATATATAAATCAAGATCTGTAATAATTCATCTTGGCCGCTAGAGGGAACCACTAAATCATTATTAAAGAAACTGTAAACGGATTATATTTAAAGCGTTTTTAATGCTCTAGGTCATCAGAAATACCTTTCTGATACTTTTCAACACTTTTCAAATAAATATTTTGCCTCCTACGAACTTTTAATATACGCGCTGATGTCAAAATAGCAAAACAAAACAAAAATAAAGCTATCCAAACACGTAGCTTTAAACATGACTTTTTGAAATAAAAGGAACTATAATGAATTATAAATTAATTTATTATTAACACCAATAACAACCGGCTTTATAGAAATGATGTGTAATGATGGAAATATGGTAAGAGATCAGGACAAATAAAAAAAAAAAATTAAAATACACCAAAGACAAACGAAATTAAAATATTTATCTAAACTTTGCAAACTTTACGACGCTGTTAATACTAATATTTTCATTATTGTGTGGTTTAATGGCCAGTAAAATGGGACAATGTAAAGTACTTATTTAAATTAATTTTAAATAACCAGTCAACAAATGCGCCAAAAGAGAGCATCGTGAAATATGAAAATGACTGAAATTAAAATGTATTACATTGTCATACCATAAAATCTGTTTTTGTAATTTTTTCCTGCAGCATTTCGTATTATGCCGACTAAATAATTCATTCCATTTCTATACTCGAGTTTGTATCCAGTTCATACATTTAATCAGTGTTTGAATTAAACTGAGCTGCTGAAAATGTGTCTTTTTTTATTTGTATTTTTGCTTTACTCTGTTCTTTCTTTATTGTTGGTTTCAGGTAAATACATTTAATATGAAAGACCTGATTAAAAATGTTCACTGAACATAAATCCGTTTTTCTCTTTGTAGATTGTCTGTGGTCCAGGGCCCCTGGAAGGGCGTCCCTGCTGATTCAGGAGGAGGAGGTGAAGGAGGTGGAGTGTGAGTTCAGTCGGCAGACAGTCGGAAGGACCGAATCCCGGCGGCCGTTTGGAGAGTCTGAGCGGGGGGAAAACTGCTTCCAGTACTGGAGAACTCAGAAAGAGGATTTCGCAATGAGTTGGGGAACGGAGCTCTGGGTACGTTTCAACTCTTTTTAAGTGTGCTTGTGAGAAAGTGCTGGGCTTGTTTTCTTTGTGTTTCGGCCCGGACACCGCCGCGACTTTGGGGCAATAGAGCGGAAGAAAGGTGCCGTGTTACCTTTTTAGCTTTGTGTCGCGGAGAGCGGCTAGGCGCTGGTGCTAGCCTGGTCGGCTGCGGTGCTGTAGCCGGCGAGGCTAAAGCTAAAGCTAATCTGAGGCGCACCTTAACGGCTGTGACAGCGGAGGAAACAATAGGCAGGCACGGCTGCAGACACACGGCCACGACAGCAAGCCGGAGTGCGGGTCACGCTGCCTCCACCACCCGGCTATTTGCCAGCTTTAATAATATCTGTGGTGGTAAATTGATTTAAAAAATTGTTTGTTTGTCTGGCAACTTACTAAGTTGGATGTTGACGGTTTTCTTACATGTGTTACACCCAGTTTCTGGCAGGGACTCCCGGCTGGAGGGTGGAGGGGAGAGAGCCCACTGTCCTGCTCGGTCTCCTTTTAAACGAATCGCAACTTCACAGCCGTTTGATTCACTTACTAATTGGGATAACGCTTCCCTTTGTTGCCAGTTCTCCAGCCTTTTGTCCCAACTTCCATGTTACTGGAAGGAACACATGGTTATTATAGACACACATACGGCGTTACATGTGGACCTCACGCCGTGTGTGTCCTGCCTTTATAGTGAAATCATGGCTAAAATGTGAGTAACATTTAAATGTTACAAGTGTGTCAAACACGAGCTGCAGCCGATATTAGAAGATGAATTTTTTTTTACCATCCCTTTCTCAAAACAGTGTTTCTTAGTTGCAGTGTATGCAGATTTTAGCTTAAATTAATCTTGCGGTGGGGCTCCATCCTGTATTTTTTTGGGTGTTGGCCATTACGAGCTGTGTAACCAGAAAGGCTACCAGAAGCACTCCCCCCTCTCTCTGTATATGTGTGTGTGCGTGTGCAGGAGGAGGAGGAGGGAGCACTTCATCTCCCCAAGATGATACTCCTCCGGCTGACCTCAGTGATTATTATCTGCATTTTAAAATAAATTCATATTTTTTTCCTTTTCTTTTTCTTTTTTCTTGCTCAGCCCTCACATGTAACCCGATCATCTGCTACCCACAAAGAGAGATCTGTTTGGTTGCCTGAGATGCAAAAGAAAAAAAAAAGGGGGGGGGGAGACTTGGGAAATAAAGCACACATGGACTCACATATGATTTGTCAGGGGTTTGTTGGCCTCGTGTCTGCTTTGAGAGTTTCCCATTCAGTTTTTCTTCTGTGGATCAAAATCACAAAGAAATGTGAATGAATGGTGATCCACTGTGCTAATGTTGTGGTTGTGATGAGTTTGTGAGCTGCAGAAATGCATTGATATAAACAAAGGAAAGCATAAGTCTGTGTGGGGGTTTTACATGAAATGCTCTGTGTCTTGTGTTTACCACAGCCCAAGCAGTGTACTGTATATGAGTAACAGAAAATTATGAATGATGAGATACGCTGTCACATGCTCCAGTCTGTATACCATCAGTGAAGCGCTTCCGATATGCTGACTGTAGACGCTGGCTGACACACACCGTCATAATCCCCGAGTCCGCTGATGGGATTAATGTGTTGGCTGTCTGATGTCAGATTAGGGCTTATCCTCCACAAGACACCACATAAAACTGTTGATTGGCTGTTGTGCTTTACAGATGACTGCCCCTCTAATGTCAGGAAGTGTGCTTTTATTTTCTGTTTTTGTTTTATTCTAAAATTGAAGTCTCTGATTTCAAATAAAAGTCTGAGAATAACAATAACAATAAAACTGTGTCCAACTAAAAGATTACAGTTGGCTTAAAAAACTGTTATTCTATGTACAGTTGGGTAAGTGGCTGCTTCACCTATTAAGATACTGGCTACATTTTGCTATATTCTAATGTGAGCAGTTCAAAACTCAATCAGATTTTAAAAAAATGAAATTCTCACATTTGGGCGGCAGAATTTAACACTAAGTCACCCCAATCGCAGTTTGTTTGTTTGTATTTCACCCTGTATCACCTTCTTAGGTGTCGTCCCTAAATGAAACGGGAAGAAGGGAAGCCAGCGTCGTTTTCAGTGCGGCTTTGTGCTTTTACTCCACTCTTTGGCTTTAGCCCAGCTCTTTGAGACGCTACAAAGCGAGCAAGGAACATCCTATTACCTCGCTGGCTTCCTGCCGTCCGACACACACTCGTGAAGTAGGAAGCGTTTGTCTGAATTAAAGCTCTTCTGTGTATTGTATGAGTGTGTGCGTTAGTGCCAGGATGCTGCCATGCTGTGCTTTGGTCTCTCCGGACGAGGTGAGTTGGAGGCCAGCACAGTGGAGCAGCCAAGTCTGACTGAAGGACAAGAGGCTGACGGGCGGTCGTCTCTGCTGATCGGCCAAACCGAAAGACTAGGATAAGGGGATCGAGAATGGGAAGGTGTGGGGTAGTTGGAGAAAGGACAGGCTGGAGATGATTTCACTTAAAAGGCTGTCCGATGGAAAGGAGACTGATTGTCGAGGCTCAGATTCAGAACAGCGACCTGGTTTTAGCTTCATGCACAAAGGCTCACAGGACTTTGGTGCTCTTTCCTTCATCTGTCGTGCACATTGTCAGAAAAGACTCGCTATTTTGATTCTTCACATGTCACACGGGAGGTGCTGTGCAGGGTAGTGGGGGTTACGTGTAAATGATTTCATGCATTTAGCAAGAGGATTGTTTGCGTTCTTGGCATCAGGTGGCCTTCAGACTCATACAAGGGTGTTTGTTATCATTGCTCGTGTTGGTGATATTTATAGACTGGCCTGCAGTATATCAGTCTAGCGTCATCTATTTTTATGGCACTATTCTTGCTGCTTTCAGGTCTTTTTGTGTCTTTTATGCAAAAGATTAGATACTTTTGAATAATGTTGTATACAGTAGTAGTAAAAAGTATACTTACTATATGGCATTGTGCCATTATTAGAGAAAGACAAAAATCATTGGGAAATTGAACAGGGCTATACATTTTACCCAGGCTGGAATTAAACCTGAGACTCGGTGCTGACAGCTGGAAGCTGCTCCTGTTTGTTGTCTTTTGCAGCCATTCAGCTATCGATTTGCCACCAAACACCTCACATTTGCAGCTTTTATTTGTTCTTTTTTTTGTTTCATCATCATCTTTTTCTTCTTTCAGCATCTCACCCTGTCCCTCCTCTGTCACACCAACCCTCTGCATTTTCCTTCACTACATGAATCTTCTCTGTGGTCTTCCCCCCTTTCCTCCTGCCTGGCAGCTCCAATATATCCACTATTCCTCCCCAGAACATGTCCAGCCTTTTTTCTATGAATTTGTCTCCAAATCAATCAGCCTGAGCTGTCCCTCTGATGTGCTAATTTCTAATCTTGTCCACTTTGGTCACGACTAGTGAAAATCTTAACATCTCTAGCTTGGCCTCCTGTCTTTTTGTCAGTGCCACCATCTCCAAACCAAACCAGCAGGACTCACTACCATCTTATAAAACTTTCCTTTCAATCTTGTTGCTATGCTTCTCTAACAAATCCCTCTGACACTCATCTCCAGCTGCTCCACCCTGTGTGCGCTCTCTTCTTATCCACTCCTGTACATTGTCTGTTGCTTTGGATGTTTAAACCCATGTATCGACCCTCAGTATCGCTGCTCCTATCTTCACTATCTCTGTTTACCTTTCCACCTGTCTAAGTGTCAGTTGCACACTCGTTTTTTGTCTTTCTTCTAGTGACTTTCATTTCTCTTCTTTCCAGAGTATTACCCCCCCCCCCCCTTACCAGGCATGTTTTCCTGAACCTTTGGAGGTTTTTTTGTACAATTGATGTCACTCAATTTTTAGTCAGGATTTACACTTGTGTAGTTGGCAGTTGTGATGTGTTATCAGTGTGCAGCTCTGTGAATGTACTGTATTGTGTACGTATGCTACATTTTGTCCTCTATTGTTTTCTGACTTTGTTGCAGTGGGTATTATTGGGCCATTTCAGTCTGAATCTTTTAAAAAACAACAAGTCCCTTGATCATTTTCCAGAGTTCTCCTCACTCCTTCTCCCATTGAGGCTGTGCCTGGTTTTAGTCTGATGTCCACAGACTTCTGATAATGTCTGCTTCCAGTTTCCGTTGACTGTAGCCCAGGGTCTGTTATTCTTATGATGATATAAAACTGATAACTTAAGAGTACATCTGGTTTGCAGCATGCAGAGTAATTATTCAAATTTTATGGGGAGTTCTTAGCTTTAGTTTCTGAATGTGTAAAATATTTTGACAGCTCTGTGTGACTGTCTGTGTAGCATAAACAGAGAACAAATCTCAGGCTTTTATGGGCAGTGTCTTCTCTTTGTCTTCCACTTTGATAGCGGAAGGTCTTTTAAGAAGGTTCCTACTGTTTAACCGGGCAGTGGTCCGGTTCGTTGCAGGTCACAGCGGGTGCGAATGATGTCATGTTGAAGCCAAGGGCAGTGGCCTGGACATGACAAGCTGTTACAGGCAGGCCTGGCCAAGCTTGTCAACACATTGCATGAATGTGGAGGGGGTGTTTTTGTAGGTGCTAGTGAGAGGCACGTTGTTTTCAGCTCTGGATGTGTGACGCGACTGATGCTTGACGCCCACATTGCTTCGTGGACGTCCTGCTTGTTAGGGTGGATGTCTTTCTTAATTAACTGAAGCTGTGCCAACACACATTTACTAAAGACGGGGATGATGATGAAGGTGGACAGGAATGAAGGAAGTGTGAGAGAAGAAACGCTGCAGAGGGAGGAGGTTAATGATGAGAGAAGAGGGAGGTTTTGGGTGGTAGGAGGTGAATAGATGAAGGCGGATGGATTGCGTAGCAAGTAGATTTTAAAGACTTAATGGGTGAGATGCAACTCTAATCATCCTAGTGGGAAAATCATTAGAGACAGGGTACATCAAGTATGAATAGGATGTAGTGGGTCAAAGCAGAGCATAATGAGTTTAGATAAACGGATCCAAACATCAATTTTGCTGAA